CCTCATCAACAGTGACATTAAAACACATTTTAGGCTTAATATTAATTGTGCATTGTGCGCAAGCAGTACTCCAAATAAAGTTTAATTCAAATTTTTATATCAATAAGTCTCATAGAGCGATATGTAAAGTTAATAGATCTGAACTATACTTAGTATGAGATAAACGTATTTTAAATATACTACTTTTTTTACTAGGGTAACCCTACGCATTCAACTCAGGAGGAAGAAGGTGAGATTTCAGAGAAATACTACAGACCTCATGATGTTTTTGAGAATGGATTGAGGTGTTATAGTCTCATATCAAATACATGCTCGTGTTTACTGTTGTTTTGGGAAGTTCAAAAATAGCCCACCCCCCCTTGACACCTAGTTATCAGCTGTTCACATGGTCACACTGGGCTCGATTAGGGCTGGTATCTGGGTTGAGTGCACATTTAGCTTCCTCTTAAGGTAGAGTCGTGTATCTGGGTGAATGCAATCGTATGCAAACCTAACATCGGTTCATGTATAGTGTAGATTTAATAGCTGGAGGACAAATGAACCCCTCACTTACCAGTGCACCAGACAGCCCTCGCCTTTCAGTCGAGACTCGTGCATGAACTTAATGCTCTTCTCAAAATGCTGAACGCTGTGGAGGGCAAAGAGACCGATTATGTCAACTTCAGGCGATTCTACAGAGTATCAATGTGAAGGATGCTGTAATGAAGCATAACCAATTTTGTGTCAAATTAAGGGTATGATTTTTATATTGCGGGTCAAAATGACCATAATTGGATTCAATACAACATCAAGAAAACCCACACACACATACACACACAAAAAAAAATCATTAATACTTCTCACACATAACACATATCCTTTATAAAACTGTTTTTAACAACTATTTTAACTTTTCCAAAAAATATGAATATTATAAAAAAAAAAAATTTTAAGCTGAAAATTTTGTTTATTTTATTTTATTTGTGTGCGTGTCCTTTTGTGAAGCTCAAGCACTAGAGCATGGCACTACATTCTCAGTGAAATTACCGTGCTTGAACTGATAAAAATGTATGGACGTTTCTTCACATTAAAGCATCTGCCAAATGTATAATTCTAAATGTAAATATTCCCATAGAGTAGTTGAGAAACTAACTAAGTATGGCCAAAAAAAAGAGTCTGTGCAGCTGCGGTTAACTGTGAAATTGCAGGTCCACGAGCATCCACGAGCATCATAATTGTAATAAACATTTTGCATGCACATACACACATCCCACAACACCTCAGAGTTTCAAAACTTTGCAGGCTTGTCCATAACCCTAAATGAGAAATAATAATAATAATAAATCCTAGTTAAATAAAACTCCAACAACTCGATTTTGTATGAATGTGATGGGTTTGTTTGTTTTTGTTATGATTCATTATAGAACAAAGCCAACCCACATGGCTTACAATAACTATAGCCTATACAAACCATATAAAAAAACAACAATAACAAAACGAGGATAGTTCAGCCAAATGATATTTTCTAGAATGAACTGTTTTTGTTTTCCAAAACAACTTTTGCTGTATGGAAAAAAAACATTATTCAAAATATCTTCTTTTGTGTTCCACAGAAGAGAGAAAAAAAACAGCATACAGGTTTGGAACGACGTGAGGGTGAGTGCATTCATTTTTGGGTGAATTATCCTGTTAACTGTGCAAAGAAAGCATTTCAGGGCCACTGTAGGAGAGTTTAGGTTAAGGTCTTCATTCAGACTGTGACGCTGACAGAGCGGTGGGAAGGTCGTAACCGGAGCAGTAAACACAGAGTTACGAGACATCCTGCGTACATGATGTTTTCCAGATGCAGATTACTCTCTGCTCCGCAACACACAGCTTTTACAGCTTCGGTATTTACTGCCTTCGCAGTTCCTGTCAAAAGTTTATTTAGGCTTGATGCTGATGCTCAAACGAGTGCGTATTGAAATGCTCAAAATATTTCAGTAAGCTGAGCC